CAGACAATCCTTGCCGACCCCATTTGGGACACCTCTACAAGAATGCAACTGCTGGTCTTGTTGTTCGACAGTGCTTTAAACGGGCGGAACAAAGGGCAACCGTGGTGAAGAGCCAAAGCTATTAGTTCCTGCTAAAGAAAATGAGCGAGTGTTGCCCAATGCCTTTTTTCATGTCTCTGACATTCGACATGTACAGGTGGAAACAGGCGTTCACACAGTTGGCGAGGCCGCCTGGCAAAGTTGTCAGCGACTCCAAATCGTTAAACTACCCAGGATGGTGTCTTCCAAAGATGCTACGAGCTCAGGACGGTTCTTGTCCCAGGGTGCAAACAATTTGGGCGCAGTGTGTTTGCAGAATGCTGCTCCTTGTCCCAGGAATTGCTGAAGATACGTCTTGCACTTCGGCAAATTAGTTTCAAGAAGACACCTCGAACTGCACGCGCTTTGCACCGGGGGATGCTTCCTTGGGTCAGGCATTGAGCAATTGGATTTACCAGCCGATTTCAAACTTCTTAGGGCCGACTGCGTGTGAAAACTGCAAGCGGTTGCAACGAGTTGATCTCTTTGGTACTGATATAACTGCTATCTGGGGGTCGACGCGCGCTGTTCGCATTTGGAGCAACTCTGCTTCCCGCAGAGGCTACGGCGCATTGGACAAGAAGCCTTCTGGCTGTGTTCCTCGCTGCATGAAGTGCACACCCCGCCTGCCTTACTCTATATTGCTCACCAAGCATTCTCAGGATGCACGCAACTCAGTCGGCTCGTCAAAATGGAAGCCAGAGCCGCATGGAGAGGACCATATGTAGAAAGTGACACCTTCGAATCGTGTGATAAGTTGAACATGCCTGGATGGATCAACCTCCTACCGCCGAATCAAGGGAGCAGTAGGACCTTCAACGCTGAAGAATTTGATGATGAGCTACGCAGGAACCTGCACTAACAATTTGCTTGCCCGTCTCAGGCTGGCACCTCTGTGTCGGTCCTGCAGACCAAATCTTTCGCTGCTGACGACTCTCTGTACAGTGTAGCAACGTAGATAGACAGCGCCCAGGCTGACGCCTTAGTGTTGGTCCTGGATGAGTACAAAGAGTACAGGCCTTTGTGGTATACTATCGTTTCACTCGGTAGAGGGGCACTGCATGGTACAGGCACTCAACTGACGACTGGCTCATACCAAGCACAAGCAGATGCACACCAAGCAGCTCCCACTGAGCTACTTGCCAGTCCCTACCGACCTCTATGGGACGCTTGTCTTGCTTGTCTTTCTGTGACTCCCGTTGCAAAGCTGTTAAGGAGTCACCGCTACAAGTACGATGCATCCTTGTCCTCCTCCCTTGGGGAGGAGTTGACCACTCTCGTAGGGAGTCCCAGCTTCGCTGCTGCATGGATTCGGCTGCGCTGTAGCTGTGCTTTCGACTGTTTGAAGCCTTGGTAAGCTGCTAGCAGTGGTTTTCCTTTGGGCCATGTCCATGCAATCATGCGAGCGCCCTACAGGTTTTGCAAGTTGCTTGATACCCGAAGATGCATGATCGTCGTGACTGTCTTCAACGCTACCTCGTCCATAGTGTCCTGTTGCAGGACGCACTGCCGCAGACTAGCGAGACAAGAAAGCACCAAGGAAGAAGTGACACTGTCACAATGTATGCAACCCAACATTCCCTGGTGGTAAAGATGTACTGAGAGCCGAGGCTGAATTCATTGCCCCTGTTTCACTTCCTCTCATTTTGGCTGACACGGCCTTCTGAGCTACATCCCAGGTTGCGGTTTTTCTTTTGGGGTCGCTTTTGGGTTTGGGGTTGGGGTTGGTGTGTGTTTTGTTGGTCTTTTCTGGTCTTTTCCTTTACCGCAACCTGGCTGGTAACTCTCTCTTCACTAGCACAAGATGACCTGTGCAACCTCTGCACACATGGCGTCTCCACCCGTGCAAAGAAAAAGCTGCGACGGGCTTACAATTCGTCAACTGGGTGCACCATGACACCCTGGAAGCAGCCGGAACAGACCCACCACCAGCTCCAACGATTTCAGCATATCGTTGTAGGGCGATGGCTCCCAAAGGAGGGGGACCAGAGCGATAACATCCTTGTCTTTACTACCAGGCGCAGCAGTGCGCAAACGCTTCAAAACTACTTCCAACAAAATGGAAAGCAAGCCAATGCGGAAACCGCGGTCAAAGTAGCCGGTGCCACTGCAAGACACTGCATCATTCTACATGGGCGATCTAACTTCCTCAGCGGAAGTGGACGCCAAGATTTTGACAACGAGTGCTACACGGGAGCGAATGTCGCGTACAGCAGAGCCACTGACCTCACCGTCTTGGCATGCCCAGTCAACATGCATGGTATCCCAGGTGCCCTCCAAGTGCTCGCCGCCCCACTGCACGGCGTATGCACAATCCATACTGGCAGCAAATGTCAAGGCAAGCTTGATCGTTTGGTGACCCTGTGTTAAGGCTACGTTGTTTTTTTTGCAATAATGTACCTCCAATAATGCTGGTTATGCGTTGCTGGTCAGGCGGGTTTTTCAGCATCGTGGGTGTTCGCTTTTTGGCTTGTTTGGGTTCTTGCAGAAATAGTCCAAAAATGTACCTCCAAAACGCTCTCCCCCATGGCCCTCGAGGTGTAAGACGTTTTTCCCCGAAACAAAGAAAGGCCTCCCCCCTACCAGAGCTATGAACTGATTACGATGTGATGATTGACTGACGATGATTCCAGCTTGACCCGCCCCTAACACGCCCTGCACCGCAAGCGGTGTGGGCGGATTTTTTTGGTGCCAAAATTGAATATTTTCTCTCCCCGCTTTCGCTATCTTGAAGTGTTGAACTTTTTTGCATTGTTCGAACCTTTGCTTTCGATGTCAGTTTGTCTTCGGATGTCACCGCACTTCGAATTGTTCTTTGAATTCATCTAACTGGATGGGCTGAAGGTGGGTTGTGTTAGCTTTTCGTAGCTGGCCTTGACCCACCCAAGTTCCCCGTGAAAAAGGAAAAAGACAAGAGCGTGATTCAGACTCAGATGTGTTTCTTGTGATGCTGTCTTGTGAACTTTTTTTGGGATGCAACTTCTCTCATGTATGTGCGGGGAGCCTCTAGATTAAAGGCTCAAATTTAATGAGACAGTCTTACATGACTGTGACTTTGGTTCAAGGAGCGGGATCGAAAAGGGAAGCTGCCGCATCCGTATTTTCGGACACTGCAGTGGTGCACAGCTTCACAGCGTTTTGCCCCCGGATGTAAAGGCTGACAAGTTCAATCTGTGTACTTGGCACACCGGGGAATTCAGTGGCAAAGGTTTGAAAATTGCGTTTGGTTGGCCTGGTGCAGACGCGCACGCGGCACATGCTGGAGCCCAGGTGTCCTGACAGTGGCTTACAGAGTGTTCCGCATGAGTGTCCTGCAAAAGTGTTCTGCAAAAATGTCTTGATTGTGTGTAAGAGTGGCTGCTCAGCCTGCAACCTTTCTTCTCTTGAAGTGCTAGTTTTGGCGCACTAGAAAGTGCATTTGTTGGCAAGTTGTTGGTTGGTGCACGCGACAGCACGTCCAGCTGGTCTTCCGCAAAAGCCAACAGGTCAGTTGGATGATGGGCAAAGTGGTTCGAATTTCAGCTGCTGTGGTTGGTTCTGGGCTTGCCTCTTTGCGCTGTGCACGTGGGATCTTTAGGACACTCTTGTTCGGACACTCTTGAAAACTCTTGCAGGACACTCTCATGGGTTGTGGGACGCTCTTGTAGGACATTTTTTGTGGGTTTCAATCCCTGTTTCTCAGGATTCATGTGTCCAAGAACAGGCAAACAGTTTTCAATGGAATTCCGAAACCTGATCAGTTAAGCATTTCTGGGGCCTCATGCTCAGTTGTGGCTTTGCACCAGTCCGGACGAGTGCGCGCGGCCCGGTTCGGTTCGGTCTGCGTCGGTTCGGTTCGATGCGGCGACGTTTTTGTTCGGTTCGGTTCGCCGCGCTTGGGTTGACACCTTCTGCACCTTCTTCCACTTTGGTTCACTTCTACACCAATTTTCGAGATTGTGTCTTGCTTCCTTCTCACCAGTTTCCTTGCTTCTTGGCGACGTTTGGGGTTCGTTTCAACTCAAGACGAGCACCCACATGAGGAGCAGTTTGTCCGAAGTGAGGCAGTTTATTGAAGGAACCAACTTGGCTGTACTTGCGATGTGCTGATGCTTTGGCACCCATTGGAAACGCAAAATGGTCTTGCATTTAACTTGGACATGTGGGAACACATCGGTCTTTTTTTGTTCTTGTCATCATTGTTTTGGCCTTTGTTGTGTGTATGAAATCAAAAGGTTTTCTGGCCTTGCAACTGCCTTGAGAAGCAGGCTCTTGAACCAAAAACCCAGTGCAATGTGTCCTTTGTTCTGAAATGGTGGCGGAACCCATCCATTCTTTTGGCAAAAGGGGCAAAAGGGATGGCGAAGGTGTTAGAACCAATCCACTTTCACTTAGGGAGTCTGCCTTGTCCAGCGCAGAGAGGACATGAAATCAGGTCTTCAATGTTCAAAATCCAACATTCCACATTCACTTCTCGATTCGATGGGAAAGAACAAAATTGATGCTCAGGGTGGATCGTGGCATGACCCGTTAGACATCTCTTTGAAAGTCCACCACAAGGTTCGGCCTCATGTCTTGTCAATGCTGGCTGTGGCCAACCAATCATTAACGGCCTCTTCGCAACAGAGCAACAAGCTTCAGCGCAAACAATACGCAGGCAAAACAACATTTTTCCAATATGTTTTCTCCTGTGCAACTATAGCGGGACTCTTCTGCACATGATTGCAGGAAATTTATGCCATACATGATTTGGTGTGAAAGAAACTAGCACAACCCAAGGCGATTGATTTCAAAGTGTTTGTTGCGAGACGAAGTCTATAGAACTTGCGTTCAAGAAGGGAATTCCACGGTCTTGCAATATTTTGCAAACACACAGCCGCAGTGGAATGACATCCATGGAAGGTTGGAGGCAAACATATCATTGCGCTTGATGTTCTCCGTTGTTTGGCTCAAGGGTTGCAGCTGCGAATTTCCGCGTTTGGTCCGCGTTGGGGACCAAATTGTCGACTTTTAGTCTGTATTTTGATCAATTTGAGCGGCATTGGTCACCCTTTTTTTGTCTCATTCTGGATCCTCTCATTTGCAGGACATGGCGCCTAAATTTGACCCCAATGAGGTGAAGGTGGTGTTTCTGAGACAGCATCTTAGCAGCACAATTTGTATCATTGGGAGTTGTTTTCATCCGGCTGACTCATCACAACGAAGTATGACAGGTATGGTGGCGAACAGGTGGGGGATCTGACATCTCAGTGTCCTTTTTGCAGAACACTTGCATGATTGCTGATTGCCTATGTACTGTACAGTCAATTTTCATGAGGCTGCCCATTAGGATGAAAATGGGTTTACAATATCTTTCAGCGAACAGCTTGTCAAGGCTCCTTCATCAGTGTTGGCCCCCAAGGCAGCTTTGACTGAATTTTTTCGTTGAGCAAAGTGGTCTCCAATCAGCTAGTTGGAATCGGAGCAGGTGGGTCCATTGGGCATGTCACCCAAGAAAGTAGGTGCCGTTCTCAGATTCCGCGTGTATTGTTTCAAAAGAGCCGGAGAGTTCTATTTGCCACCCAAGGTGATGATATTGTCAAAGGCACCAGCCAGTGGCTGCTGGGTTTGAATGCTCATGACTCTTATGACTTATGACGGTGTTTTTGTGTTTTGTTTTACTCTTTCTTTCGGATATGCGTCACATCCAAGGAAAGGCATCCGTGTCACTGCAACGGTCTTGGAGTGCCATGTCTTGCTTTGCAGACGAAAAGCTCGTCCAAGGTGAAGCTGACAATCCAAAACAGACAGGCCAAGGCAGGACAGCAAGACCTGTTGGGTGCAAATGGTGGGTACAGAGCTCCACAGCTTCTGCCGCGTCGAAAAAATACATCCTAAAAGATGTCAACAGGCTTCATACAGCAAAAGTCGATGCGAAGCAGCAAAGCAACTGACAGGTGGATGTGGAGCCAAACGCCACTAGCTTGATCATCAAGGCTTTGAAGGAGCTTTCAAAACCAAAGTGCCTGGTCGATGCCGATTTGGTACCGGATGGTATGTGTTTCACGTTTCAGTTCTTAATTTGAGCCGATGTGGCATTTGCGTCCTGGCAGTGTTAGATGTCAGGAGCCATTGCGAGACCGAAAAAAGACGAAGAACATCAAGCACACTGGCAACCTGACCAAGGTAAGGTGGTATTGCGAGTCTTGCTTTGTTTTACCACAAGCACTTTTAATTTCATGAGAGAGCTCGCGGGTTTGGTGCAGAACGTCTTTCTGGATATTGTGCGACAAATGTGCCTGCCTCATTCTTGAGTTGTGCTTCAATTTGAGGGTGTAACAGGAGAGAAAATACAATGGACATACTGAAATAGCTTAGAATCAGAACATACTCTTTATATATATATATATATGGTACCCCCCAAAAAAATCTATGTTCACCTCACTTTTGCTGGTATTTGCAATATTTTGTGTCTATTTTTGGCGGCCTTTTGGACCTTAGTTTTTGGGGTACCATATCTATATATATTATATATTTCTTTTTTTGTGCACGCACGTAGGTTGCATGACGTGTTTGTCCACTTTGGAAGGAATGCATTCTGAATGCATTCAATGCATTCAGAATGCATTCTTGATCAAAACCAAGATCCAAGATCCAAGATTCCCACAAGACTCCTGGTTAAAATCTTGGATAAACCAAGATCCAAGATCCAAGATTCCCACAAGACTCCTGGCTAAAATCTTGGATTGATACAGTGATAAAGGATGTTCCCAAATCCAAGATTTTCCACAAGACTTCTGTGCAAATC